ATTTTGCATGTATGAGGTACTGGAATCAATCCCCAGCACTGCCAAAAAACCAAAAAGTAAAAACAGAACAAAAAGGTGTAAAAGGATTGAGATGTGATATTTATATGTGCCAACTCCCCATGATGAATTTATTTATTATGTATCACAAATATATACTAATGAAAAAGAGGGAAAGACTTTGGCTGGCTTCCTTCCCTCTTCCTATCATTTGCATTCATACAGCTAGCACAATGCCTAGTAGAGTCATTACTCAATAATGAGATTATAGAAACTCTGTGGGTATTCGGTTCACCTTAAAGTGCATGCCTTCTTTTCTTGAGCTAATGATTCCTATATTATTATTTGCTGTATATAAATATGATACTCCAGTGCTTTCCTAGAACACATGATTATAACCATCAACCAAGAGCATTTCTAAACCAAAAACTTTGTATCAAAAGAAGTTATATGTTTCTTTTTAAACAAGTTCATGAAAAGTATGTCTTAAAGTAAAAAATTTTATTCCAACTCAACTGGTGATGTTACATAACTACATGGAAATATTAGAGATATTTGCACTGTCTGTATGTAAAGTACTCCATGGTGCCATCTAGTGGTGTAAGTGCCAGAAGGTATAACTTTATTTATTTTTAATTAACTTTATTGGTACATTTTAGGTATACATTATGATCACATTCATCGTTGGGAATTTGTACCTGTACATGATATATCTTAGTTCTTGTTTTTTCCCATTCCCCTTCCACCCCTCCACCCCTCCCTATTTATAAAAGCTTTGTTTCGGGTTTTTTCTTCTTTTCTCATATTTTTTTCTTTCCCTTCTTTTTCTTTCCCCCACCCTCCTACTTCCCCGTCCCCTTTGAACCTTTGCTTCCTATTTTACATTATCTACTGTACAGTTTGGTCCTCATTTACACTTTCAGTTTCTCACACCAGAGAGACAATTTGGTATTTACACATGTGTGTCCTATTTATTTCACTTAAGAGTATGGCTTTATTACTCAATACTTGAGGATAGAATTTTCTTTAAAAATTTTTTATACTAAAAATTTAATGTAATAGTCAAACATAAGATACAAAAGAAATTTACTATAAAACATCTACAGGATTCTTATAACACGAAAACACCAGCAACAAAAGAAAAATAAGACTGCTTCACAATTTAGAACTTTTATCTAAAGATACTATCTAGAAATTGAAAAGATAGCCCATAAAATGGGAGAAAATATTTGCAAATTGGTTATCTTGTAAGAATCTGCTATCCAGAATATATGAGGGACCTTTTACAACTTAATAGCAAAAAGACAACCCAATTAAAACATGAATCATGGGCTTGAACAGACATTTCTCTAAAGAAAGTATATAAATGGCAGTGAGCACATGACACAATGGTCAGCATCATTAGTCATTAGAAAAATGCAAATCAATAATGACATGGAAGGGCCAGGGATTTAGCTCAGTGGTTCCGCCGCCTGCCTTGCAAGTGCAAGGTCCCGAGTTCGATCCCCGGTACCAAAAAAAAAAATAATGACATGGAAGACCCCGTGCTGCACTTAAAATATTGCTGCTTGATTATTTGATTTTTACATGAGAGCTTTATAACATGAACCTTTGTATAGAATTGTGAGTTGTGACCATGTAACATGAGAGGTTTTGCTAGGGCCTATTATTTTTAACCACCATTAATTAGTGGAGGTGGAGTTTACTGTGAAATTTTCATGTTTGAATTTTTTAAATTGCCTGGCAAAAGCTGATATAAGTTCTAAAATATCAGCAGAATGATTTGCTGAATTCATTACAACCCTGTTAGGTCACATTTTGATTACATTAAAGTTTTCAGTAAACTTTTCCGAAGAAAAGAAAAATGCAAATCAGAGCCACCATGAAATACCATGTCCCACTTGCTAGAATGGTTTTCATGCTTAAAAAAAAAATCAAAAACAAAGTAGCAAATGTTAGCAAGGATGTGGAGAGATTAGAATCCTCACACATTGCTGGTGTTGGGGTACAGACACTGTGGGAGACTCCAATAGTTCAGATAGTTAAACACAGAATTACTAAATGAGCTGGGCATGGTGTGCATCCCTGCGATCCCAAGGCTCTGTGCAGCTGAAGCAGAAGGGTTGCAAATTGGAGCCCAGCCTGGGCAACTTGGTAATTTACCAAGACCATGTCTCAAAAACTTAAAAAATGGCTGAGGATGTAGCTTAGTGTGAAGTCCCTATGTTCAATCCCCAGTACAGCGCTCCCCAAATAAATATTCTTTTTTCTAGAAATTTCATTCCTACTAATGTTCCCAAGAGAAATAAAACAGATGTCAAAGTTAAAGGTAGAAGCAAATCTCTAAAACAAAACAAGTTGTAATTGGTAGTAATACAAAAAAATTAGGATTGCAATCCGGGATATATGTACAGGCCAGGATAGCCTCCCATATGTCTGGAAAACAGAGGAAAGGTTGGTGACTTTATTAGGACAGAGAAATCTCAAGTCATTATGAAAGCAAGTTTATTGGTGCTTTCAGTGCTTCAGGGAGCTGGCAGGCTCTAACTGGTGAGCAGCAGCAGTCACTAAGTAAAACTAGTCTTAGTCTTAAGGTCATACGTTGAAGTTCTGTTAAGTTGCTAAAAAGAAAAAATATGGCATTAAAAGATAAGAAAGTCTGTTCTGCTATATTGACCTAGCAGGGAAGTTCTGGGAACAATCGTTTGAAACTGTTTTTCTCCCCTTGACCTGTTGGCTGTATTTTAGATATATGTCAAGAAAGTCTTTATTTGTATGCTCAATTTCCACATGGGAGTTCAAACAAAACCTTGCACGTGAATGTTCATGGCAGTATTATTCATAACAGCTAGAAAATGGAAAGGGAACAAGTTTCTATCAGCTAATGAATGGATAAAAACATAGTATATCCATACAGTGGACTATTACTCTGCTGTAAAAAGGAATGAAGTACTAGTACATTGGTGAACCTTGAAAATATTATAATAACAGAAGCCAGACACAGCCACGCCTGGTGGCACACGCCTGTAATCTTAGCACGTGGGAGGCTGATGCAGGAGAATTGCTGTGAGTTTGAGGCCAGCCTGGGCTACGTAGTGAGTTCAAGACCAGCCAGAACTACACAGCAAGACTGTTGTACACTAATTACTAGAGCAGCCAGGAGCAGTGGCATATTCCTATAATCCTAGCCACCAGAAGGCTGAGGCAGAAAGAACCACAAGTTCAAGACCAACCTGGGCAACTTTGTGAGGCACTGTCTCAAAATTTTTAAGACACCATCTTAAAAAGGGATAGGGATGTAATTCAGGGTAGAGCATTTGCTTAGTATGTGTAAGCCCAGAGGATTGATCCGGAGTACTGAAAAAAATTATAATGATCATTATATTGAGTGCATTCTACCTTAGTTTTTAAGAAGACTCCATTGACTGGCAAGAACCTTGTTTATTATTATTACAGATACATTTTCCATAGTTGTTGAGAGCATGTTTGTATTCTATTTGCTTTTTAATATTGATACATACTTTTCATCTGTACAGTTTCCACAGTTCTTAATTTGATGCTTGCTTATATTTTAGTGTCACACAAATGTTCAATAGTTCTCCGATTTTTTTTCAATTTCAAAAAGTCCTGCTATAAATGCTTAAACAAATAAAAATGTTTAAAATTCTGTTGATACTGCACTGGTTTTTCTTACCCAAAACAGAACCTCTGACTTCTTTAATTTTTTTATATTTATTTATTTATTTATTGGTACATTTTAGATATACAGTATATTTACATTTATCATTGGGTGTTTGTACCTGAACATGATGTTACATAGTTCTTATTTTTTCTCCCATTACCTGTGCACCCTTCACCCCCTCCACGCTTCCCTATTTACACAGACTT